CAGCCAGCAGCCAGCGGTAGCGGATCAACCCTTTTCTGCGGCCGTTGAGTAGTTTTCGATTCCGGTTGATTTTTGTCCCTCTGCGCTTGCCCCCGCATTCCTTCCCCCGGCTCCGGCCCCCGGTCCCTGCACTCGCTCTCCTCTTACGGAGGAAAGGTCGTGGCCTGTGGCCCTGCGGGCAGCCGTGCCGAAATGAACCCCAGCGCCCCCAGCTACCCCATGGCCTCGCTCTACGTGGGGGACCTACACCCCGACGTGACCGAGGCGATGCTCTACGAGAAGTTCAGCCCGGCGGGGCCCATCCTCTCCATCCGGGTCTGCAGGGACATGATCACCCGCCGCTCCCTGGGCTACGCATATGTGAACTTCCAGCAGCCAGCGGACGGTGAGAGCCGGGCCCCGCGGGCGAGCGGGCGGGCGGCCATGAGGCTCAGCCGGCGGCGGCGGGCGGGCTAGGCCGGTGGGCCGCGGGGAGGGGACTGGAGGGCATGTCACCCCCCCAAGGACGGGCGGGAAGCCGCTGGGGCGCCGGGATCCCCGTCCTCCCGATCCCGCAGGGACCCCTGCGTCCGGCGGCCGCACGCCTGTCGCACACCCGGCCACTTCCTCCTTTGCGACCATTTTCTCGGCCTGAGCCACTCTCAAACTTTAGGGTGATGACGCGCCGGGAGGGTGGGTGAGATAGGGCTCTTCAACGACGATCCCGCCCGTAGTCGCGGGATTCCGGGGGCGTCGAGGGCCAAGCCCCCTTCTGTGGTAATAGGGGGAGGCGCTCCTACCACCCAGAGCTTTTGCCGGCGCCCCAGGACGGGGAGGAAGTGCTATTCGGTTCTCGAAAAATACCACGTGTTGAACCCTGTAACCTCACAGGCCCGAGGCCTGTTCCTGCTCCGGGCCCCATCGCCTGGGGGAGCCACAGGCCCTTAAAGTTCAGTTCATATGGTGATGGGGTGGTGGTCTTAAGGTTTCTGATTATATTCTTAATAACTTGTCAGTGGCTGATGGATCTGTGTATGTAAAATACCGATGAGATGTACATTTGGGTTTTTCCCCGAGTTAAGGCATTTCTCAATCTAACATTAACAGCAGGGTGGGAGGAGGGAATGTAGAGAATGACCCTATAGTTTTCTTGGGCTGTTTAGATCATTTAAATTTTTAAAATTCAAATTAGTTTCATAGTATTGGTAATTTGTTAAGATTTTTTTTCCTTTCTGAAATCATATGTTTCTGAGGGATTACTTTAAAATGTATTTACCAATTTTGGCTGTAAAATGTTAGTTGAGAGTGAAGTATGGACTCTGAACCATTATATTTTGGTGGCATTCAAGTAGTTGAGGTTTCTTTATTTTTTAAAGTGGTCCACAATATCCATAAATCATGGGGAATGATTGAGCACAAAGTAACAGATTAAGAGTTGGTTGAGATTTATTGGGGGTCGAGGGGGGGCAGGCAGAAATGCAGCTGACCTTGTATTTTTATTTTGAAGTTAAATAGTTCACCGAGACAAAATTTGGCCAGCAGATAAGATACGTGGCCTGATGAATTGCCAGGATTTTTCTTTATATCTAGATCAGTTGACTTACAAAAATCAGCTTCACTTGGTATTACTGCCCAACTTTGCTTTTTTTTTCTATGCTGTTTGAATACGTGTAGCATTTTAACATTTAAGGAATTCATTTTTATTTTCGTAGAAAAAGCCTTAAAGGTGGAATTTAAACAACTTTAAGTAACACTTCATTTATTTAATGATCACCTTTTCGCTAGGTGAAGTTAATGATTGAGATTTTGCGTTGGCAGACTATTGAATGACAGAGCCAGAAGTTAGAAAATTGTGCTGCAGGTTTCCTTCCCTTTTGTTCTGTAAGCCGTAGCTCCAGATGTCAGTCCACAACAGTTCTGATCAATTGTGGGCAAGATTTATCACTGAATGGAAGATAAAGTAATATTAGGCAATATAACTTTGGGGCAGGTAATCACAATCAAGAGTTGGTAGAGAAAACTGCGAAGAAATTCTAGAGACTGTAAAGTGGTAACTTTTGAAAGTGGCTTTCCTTCTAAGCTTAACAATTCTAAATCCAACAAAAAAAAAATTTTTTAAGTGGGATTTGAAAAGTTGAACTTCTGGTTACCATGGTTACAGTACACTGAAGAATGTATTGTGGGTCTATACCAGCAGACCACTACTGTAACTGCTCAAAAGATAGCATTTCCCTGTCCTCTATTAATTTAGTTTCTATACATACCAAATTACTGTCTTTCCAAATAGCTTTTCAGTTTTCTCTTTCATTTACTGCTAAATTGATGGACTTGCAGAATAGCTTCTGGAAATGATCAGTTTCCAATTTAACAGGAAGAGGTGACTCATTCAAAAGAAGCTCAAGCAAAGTCAGCTAAAAAAAAGAAAAACTGGGGGAGCTGAATAGGTCAGTTGATAAATGAGCTGATAGCTGATTGTCACTGTCTTCTAGAAACTAGAACTTTGACTTAAAAAAGAAATGGCCAGAAAGTTTGTGCTCACAATAACTACATTTATGTTGGCATGGAATTTGTGAAAACAGGTGTTTCAGGACTTAAACTAGACTGCGTTTTTCCCCTCTTTAGGGACTAGTCTTCTTACTTAGGGATTAATTTTTTCCATTTAGCTTATTTAAGAAGTGTTTTTTAATGGTATAGATGCACATAATTCAATACTTCATGGACTATGAAATCATGGATTAGATTCTGAAATTTTCCATCCAGAAATAATTGCCTAAATTATCAGTTAAGTAAATCAGTGATATAAGGTAAATTTAGTTTTATGTCAAGAAAGCATTAACAGTAAATTGTGGATATTGTAGACCTGTTTTTAATTGTGCATTTTTGTTACACATCTAAGTATACTCAGCTTCACATTAGTTACTGAAGGCCTGATTCAAAAGCTGATCTCGATATAGCCTTTCTTTCGTTTTTTAATAAGCAACAGGAAATTGTGCCAGAAATCACTGAAGTCCCCCCAATAATTTAGGAACTTTTGTTTTTTTAAGAAAATGAACTAAGTTTTGTAAAGCATTGGTAGTGATGAGAAATGAAACGACCAAGTTTGGCAGTTAATAAGTTAAGCTTAAAAATCCGTAAGCCACCCAGCCTGTGGATGGATGATCTACAATTGCCTAGTGTTTCTTATATTGTTCATTCAGCAGATTATATGTGAAGGAGAATCTTTTATGTTGACTGGGAACAAAGGTGTTTTTAAATTTAATGGCAATTGAAGAGATTGTTTCAAAAATACCTTATTAGTGATATATCGTCTGTTAACATGGGAAATTAGTTAGGGTTTCTAATGCTTCTCTTTTTTGTGTCACAATTTAAATCTAGTGTGAGGTAAGGTCCTGCCTGCCATCTTGAAGTTAAAAAAAATGTAGAGGGATGATATGCCCAACTACTTTCCCGTAGTAGTTTATATAATTTTAAGTGGCCTGTAAAAGTTTTGAAGTAATACTCTAAAAATGTCCTTCTTGCAGCGGAGCGTGCTTTGGACACCATGAATTTTGATGTTATAAAAGGCAAGCCAGTACGTATCATGTGGTCTCAGCGTGATCCATCTCTTCGCAAAAGTGGAGTGGGCAACATATTCATTAAAAATTTGGACAAATCCATTGACAATAAAGCACTGTATGATACATTTTCTGCTTTTGGTAACATCCTTTCATGTAAGGTAAGCAAAAAACCTGACAGATAAACATACACGTATAGTGTTTTCACTACTTGTTTATTCTTTAAAATAGAAATCGTACTATCTGTTAATGGATGTCTTTATTTCCCAAATACCCAAGTTAGGTGGCTGACAGTTCATTTCTGAATACTGAAAAAATGTTAAATCAATAGAGAGTAATGAAATACTGGTATACATTTTTCCCTAGGTGGTTTGTGATGAAAATGGTTCCAAGGGTTATGGATTTGTGCATTTTGAGACCCAGGAAGCAGCTGAAAGAGCTATTGAAAAAATGAATGGGATGCTTCTAAATGATCGCAAAGTGTAAGTATTTGTTTAATCATACTTCAGATCTTTTTTTAGTAGTTCACATCAATATTTATTTTACAAGTTAATATATTTGTGCCTTTAAAGAGTTATTACATAGCTAGAGTGAAAACGTGTAAAAACTGCATGTTGGTAGGTCTTAAAATTGTCTTTTCTCCATATTCAGTGTGATATACAAATAACAGTGCATTAATTTAACTGGCCAAAAGAAAAAGAAGAAGATATGTATACTTTATAGATATAAAGCTTCTTCAAAATAAGTGCATAGTTGAAAAGCTGAGGAATCCAGGTAGAAATTTTAGTCATGTATTTCTGAGGTATAGTAATTAGCCCATTTTAGGAAAGTGAAGCTGAAATAATTTCCCTGTATTTACATGCTGATAATGACAAATATGCTGGGATACAAATACAGGGGTCTAAATTCAGAGCTCAGAGTGGCTGTTTACCACGTGGCCGTACTGCTTCTCAATTTATTGATGGAGTTAAAAAAAAGTTTTTTTTCTTCTGACTTCCTTCACCCATTTAAAGATAAAGCAGAATTAAAACAAGTCTTCACAATTAATATTTGCTGAAATAAACTTGTTAGAAGTTGCAAAGTTTTTAAATAATGACACTGATAATACTCTATTAAGAGTATTTGTGTTACAGATTGTAAAAATAAAGATTTTGGGGAGAGCCAAAGAAACAATAAACCTTAAATTTTTTATCCTCATGCCACTGGACTTTGCTTAATAATCGGGGCGAATTCAGCTGTAATGTCATTTTGTAAATGATTTGTGAGTTCATGTTGCTGTGTTAACTGCAGTGCTGGCTGCAAATAGGGTTGGTTTGTTATGTCAGCTGCATCACTCCTAAGGTGTGGCTCTAATAAATCACTGCATTGGGTGGTGTGGTCAGTATATGAAGGAGTCTTGAAGCATATGGTTTCCTGTTTGAATTCTGTCAATTCTGTTATTAAGGAAAGACTTTATAATGTGAAAATAACCCATATATATCCTAGAAAACCAGCAACTCCTTGACAAGGACAATGTTTACAAAGGCTAATCCTTAGAAATGTGCATCCTTAAATTCTTTAAATTATAGGAATATTCAGCATCATTAGTATTCTCAGATGAAAATGCTTTAGGGAAATGAAAGAATGCCTATCAAATGGTGAGGAATCTAAATTAAATAAATACTTGATATATTGCTCTTTGGAGTATAAAATGACAGAATACTTTTCCAGAAACAAGTTATATGTATAAACCTAAAATCATTTACATACCCTTTGAATTGCCACAATTTTTACAACTCTAGCCTAAGAACAAATAACAAAGTACCGTAAAGTTCTGGCATTATTTACAAAAGCAGAAAGTTGAGATGTCCACAGTGGAATACAATGTTTCCATGAGAATGTTCATAACATTTTAACAGCATGGAGAAGCACTGTCATTGGGGGAGTTGGGGATTAAGGAAACAAAATGATAGGTATCACCATTAATTTTCTTTAACACAGAAAACAAGACATACTAAAAGTCTGTTATGATTTGGGTGGAATTACTAGTGATGACTTTTTTACTTTTATGTGTATTACAGTATTTGGTGATATATATACTCTATTACATTAGGAGAAAACTAAATTTTTAAAATACACTTTGCTGATGATCCTGCGAAGAAAATTATGCCAGACTGCTGTGTGTTAGAATTAGGAAATTAAAATTTTTATTTTAGGAGATTGCAAACAAAGGACAAGGGCTACTGAAACAGCCTTTGTGTCTAATTGGTGTGGTGCATGTATACTCCCACTCATTTGAAAATGATAGGTGTGATCTCTAACCCTGGATTAGCTAGAGGGAGAGTGGTATGTCCTTTTCTGTGACTTTAGTTCTTAAAATTCATGCTTTCATTTCTAAAATTAAGGCCCTTTTTTGTTTTATAGTGTGCTCTTTATTATATAGATACTGGACTTATCTGTAACAATTAAAAATCAACCATCAGGCTTAATTAATTATTCTGAACTTCATAAAATAGAATCTAATTTTATAGTCCTTAAATATTTTATTAGATTTGTTGGACGATTTAAGTCTCGTAAAGAACGAGAAGCAGAACTGGGAGCTAGGGCAAAAGAGTTCACCAATGTTTACATCAAGAATTTTGGAGAAGACATGGATGATGAGCGCCTTAAGGATCTCTTTGGCAAGTTTGGTAATGTGTCTGAATTAAATTTTTACACACAACGTTCTGAGTAATTGCTTGTTAGTTTTGGTTAGTACTTTACTAAAAAATGAAATGAGACAATGTATTTAAATATTTGTGACTTGGATTATAATGGACTAGCAGTACATTATACTACAAAATAGCATATAAATATAGAGTTCTATCCATTTTAAAAGTTAATAGTGCTGTATAGTACAGCAAGGTGTGACTGCTTTAATTGGAAGAGATTTTAAAAGGTTTTGCTATGTTAAGAAACTGCTGGATTTATGCATTTACAGATCTATCACATCAGAGGGCATGCATATGACACAGCCAATTTAGATTGGAGTGCAGTCTTTAATGATGGGACACAAAAGCTGGTCAGCTTTAGGATAATTGGCCAGTTTTGGTGGCATCATATTTGATAAGTTCAAAACTGACTTTCAGAGACAAAGCCAAAGATCCAGATTTTCCAGTGTGATATCTCTTTGGGATGTTCTCCTTAATCCATGGAGAATCTTATTAAACTACTTATTCCTTGCATTTCAAACTAACTTCATTAAACTTCAAGTATAACCAGCCTCACTTTAGATAGTTGCTTTATCTGAAAATGACTTTCAAATTATATGCTTATGCAGATGATTTGCTTGTCTCTTACTGTGTGCTTTCTGTTGAAATTAAATAGGTGGCTTATTTTTTTATTGAGCACTTCAAATGATAATTAGGAAACCTAATGCTTATCTGTTGTCAAGTTAGCATGCTACATTGAACCCCTCTGCTCCTTTGAGCAGAAAATTTGTCATTTTGCATGAAGATAAATTGTGTAAGAGGAAATAATGTGACATGTATCTTACTCCAAATTCTCTTTAGTGATTGGCTTACATGTATGTTTTTCATCTGTCTCGCTGCTTTTATAATTAGAAGCTATTTCTAAAGTTGCATATTATTAACCACTTATCCCAAATGAACGATGTTGTGAGTTGACTACCAGTATGTAAATTTGTCAAATATCTTGGCTGTTTTGAATAACAGAGATAGATTGGAAGTACACTTTAAGACAGAGGCACATTCAGAAGAAATAATCTACCTGTGCCCGTACTTCTTCAAAATTCTCTGTAATCAAGTATGACTTTTAACCTTTTCTTATCCCACCTACCTGAAATACCACCCACCTCACTTACCCTTTTCACTTGAGAGGGGGTTGGAGGGACATGTTTTTGAGAAATGAATCACCTCCTCTGGTGATTATGCTTTGTGTTCCCAAAGGTCAATCCCTGTATTCCCTCCAGTCTCTGTTGAAAAATCAATGGTCCAAGGCTTTAATTCTGATGTCAGGAAAACAAAATTGTTGGCTTAAAAATAAAATCTTTTCATATCAGTTCCAAGAATAAAACTCCATTTTTTACAGTTGTCTGAACATAAGGAGGAATGTTTTGGGGAATAGAGTATTTATTTAGCTTCTTAGCAGAAATAAAGGGTTTTTGCAGAGAATATTTAGTGCTCTTTGGGGGAGGGGGCAGTTAGGAAAGGAATAAATTTCTGGAGGCTTGGAATTCTTTTCCTTACCCATTTTAATTTTTTTGTGCCTTTGTTTTTATGTGTTGAAATTGGAGGTGTATAAACTAAATGTTGTATGTACTATCTTTGAAATATTTTTAAAAAATTATTTTTAGGACCTGCCTTAAGTGTGAAAGTAATGACTGATGAAAGTGGAAAATCCAAAGGTTTTGGATTTGTAAGCTTTGAAAGGCATGAAGATGCACAAAAAGTAAGACTTAAATAACTGAAAATTGTGGGTTTTCTGTATTTTTGTAGTAAGGGAATATACAGTTGGTTTGCTCCTGTATTGAAATTCACATGCATGCCAGTGGCTGTTTTGCATGTTTATTTTTACATGTATTTGTGTTTTACATGTTAGTTTTGAGAGTGTAAATTGAGAACCTATGTATTGCCCCCATACCTCAAACATTTAGTTAGCTTATCTGTTGTCAAGTTAGCATGCTACATTGAACCCCTCTGCTCCTTTGAGCAGAAAATTTGTCATTTTGCATGAAGATAAATTGTGTAAGAGGAAATAATGTGACATGTATCTTACTCCAAATTCTCTTTAGTGATTGGCTTACATGTATGTTTTTCATCTGTCTCGCTGCTTTTATAATTAGAAGCTATTTCTAAAGTTGCATATTATTAACCACTTATCCCAAATGAACGATGTTGTGAGTTGACTACCAGTATGTAAATTTGTCAAATATCTTGGCTGTTTTGAATAACAGAGATAGATTGGAAGTACACTTTAAGACAGAGGCACATTCAGAAGAAATAATCTACCTGTGCCCGTACTTCTTCAAAATTCTCTGTAATCAAGTATGACTTTTAACCTTTTCTTATCCCACCTACCTGAAATACCACCCACCTCACTTACCCTTTTCACTTGAGAGGGGGTTGGAGGGACATGTTTTTGAGAAATGAATCACCTCCTCTGGTGATTATGCTTTGTGTTCCCAAAGGTCAATCCCTGTATTCCCTCCAGTCTCTGTTGAAAAATCAATGGTCCAAGGCTTTAATTCTGATGTCAGGAAAACAAAATTGTTGGCTTAAAAATAAAATCTTTTCATATCAGTTCCAAGAATAAAACTCCATTTTTTACAGTTGTCTGAACATAAGGAGGAATGTTTTGGGGAATAGAGTATTTATTTAGCTTCTTAGCAGAAATAAAGGGTTTTTGCAGAGAATATTTAGTGCTCTTTGGGGGAGGGGGCAGTTAGGAAAGGAATAAATTTCTGGAGGCTTGGAATTCTTTTCCTTACCCATTTTAATTTTTTTGTGCCTTTGTTTTTATGTGTTGAAATTGGAGGTGTATAAACTAAATGTTGTATGTACTATCTTTGAAATATTTTTAAAAAATTATTTTTAGGACCTGCCTTAAGTGTGAAAGTAATGACTGATGAAAGTGGAAAATCCAAAGGTTTTGGATTTGTAAGCTTTGAAAGGCATGAAGATGCACAAAAAGTAAGACTTAAATAACTGAAAATTGTGGGTTTTCTGTATTTTTGTAGTAAGGGAATATACAGTTGGTTTGCTCCTGTATTGAAATTCACATGCATGCCAGTGGCTGTTTTGCATGTTTATTTTTACATGTATTTGTGTTTTACATGTTAGTTTTGAGAGTGTAAATTGAGAACCTATGTATTGCCCCCATACCTCAAACATTTAGTTTTTGTGATGGGTCCATCTTGAGCTTTCTAACAAACTAGTAATCTGTTATAACAAATGCTCTTTATTGTTTAAAAAATGAACTTTTCTATTGCAAGTCAGTAATTAATATTTTTGTGATTTCTGTAAGGCTGTGGATGAGATGAATGGAAAGGAGCTCAATGGAAAACAAATTTACGTTGGTCGAGCTCAGAAAAAAGTGGAACGACAGACGGAACTTAAGCGCAAATTTGAACAGATGAAGCAAGATAGGATCACCAGATACCAGGTTCATTTTTAATTGAACAAGCACAATAAGACAGGGGTGAAGAAACAGTTTACATTCATTTCAGTTAATCGCTAGGTAACGGGAGGTTTGAGAGGGGGAAAGGAGTAAAATGGGATAAAAATAATAGGAAGTGTGCTTAAGTACCACTGCAGTTTTCTTTTTCCTTTGCCTAGTTTTCTTCTTCTTTTTTTAAGGGTGTTAACCTTTATGTGAAAAATCTCGATGATGGTATTGATGATGAACGTCTTCGGAAAGAGTTTTCTCCATTTGGTACAATCACTAGTGCAAAGGTAAAAATGTAATGCTCTTTTTTTTTGGAGATTTGAGGAAAGTCATGCACATGGATATATGTATATAAATTTCACATTAATATACATACTGGAGTGTTTTCCTTGTTTTGTGAACTGATAGTCAAATAGCTTTTTTCTTTCAAAGAAAAGGTTAGTCTTTCATTTCTTCTGGAAATAAGTTTTTGCTTCATTACTTCAAAAACTTATATTCAGATTTGAAGTGGCTGTTGTAGCCTGGTGGTTTATTTTTGCAAATGATGAGACCCGAATGCCTTCCTCAGGAAGGCTGCATTTGATGACCATAGTCGGTGGTTGATTATCAACATCATGTGCACTGTTTTATTTATACTCTGTTTAAACTAGTCATTTTACTGATGAAAGAAAGCAATTTATTAGGGAGTTAATAATTGTTATTACTGGGTGAATCTGTATTCACTTACACAGTTCTTTCTGGGGAATTAAAAATTTCAAGCCCAGTAGAGATCATAACTTTCTTTTACTTGAAATCAAAAATTAAAGAACAGTGATTCTAGTCTAAATTCTGGAATTTTGTTGTAAGAATCTCTGCTCTAAGTGTTTATTTCCTTGTGTCCATAGACGAAGATCCCTCTGTAAGGTTTTGTGTATGTATATTTGAGAGGGCGGGAGGGGAATAACCAGACTCTCAAAAAAGTACAAGAATATTTAAAACTCAGTGCTCTGGAATGACTTGATGGCTGATCTTTCTGCTTAGTTTTTCCTGGCCACCCCATTGCCTAAGGGAGCTTCTATAGTAAGGAGATGTTAGGGGCACAGTAGATGAATACAGATAAAAATGTAGGTGATGGGTTGCCTTGCGTTTCATTCAGCCTGTGCTTTTGTAGGAGTACCTGGACTATGATAGAATTTATTCCTGAGTATCTTTATCCTCAGTGTGTTCCCTGGATGAAAATGGTTTAAATATGTGCATCCATTTTTTTTAAGTCCTTTGTGGATCATAGTATCACTGTTTGCAAGGAGGTTAAAAAGTTTGGCAGGAATTTATTCTGGAGGGAGGAGGTCATTACATTAATAATTCTTGCTGAAAAAACACTTATCAAAGCAGTAGGGTAAAGAGTGAACTCCACCCCCGTTTATAGTCTCTAACAGGAGTTTGGGTGGCCTTCCCAGGTAATCCCTGAGCTTGTCCACACACTTTTTGTGTATGTATAAACAGTTTTTAGAAAACAGGATCATAACTTATATATTATTACTCTCCTTTAGATCTAGATATTTCAGGCATTTTCTTTGCTCTTTTTCTTTTTGGCTAGGAGTTGAGTACTCATGTAAGATGTACCACTACTTACTGTACCTGTATTGATAAATATTTGGGTTGTTTTGGATGTTTCCACTATTAGACCCACCACTAAACATTCTTTAGATCTTTGCACACGTGCCAGTATTTCTCAAGTGCTAGAATTGAAATTGCTGGTTATTGGGAATGTGTGTTCAAAATTGATACAATCCAGAAAGGCTTAACAAATCTAGTCTTGTCAGTTTAGTAGAAAGTGGTGTATGTCTTTTCAAATGGTGACCTGCTTTTCATGTATTTCCTAGTTTTGCCTGTTCTTTGCTTATTTTTATAATGTGTCTTTTTATTGATGGTCTTTTGTCATCTTATTTTCCCTATATTTTTGTATTATGTTTATATTCATAACTAATCTGGCAGTTTGATTTTTCAGTGTGATGTGAATAAGCAATCTAATGTAATTCTTTTTAGTTGTCCCATGTACCATGTATTGAATACTGCAAAGGTCCATCTTTTCTCCACTATTAAGGTGTAAGCTTTAACATACTAAATTCCCATAATTGGCATGGGTATGCTCCTGAACTTTTTTTCTTTTTTAAAGATAAAATTGACATACTGGTTTTAGGTGTACAACATAACAGTTCAAAATTTGTATATATGTGAAATGACCACAGTAAATCTAGTTAAATTCTATCACCATACCTAAGTTAGAAGTTTTCATTGCAAGGAGAGAAAAACTTTTATAAGATCTACTCTTCTGGCAACTTTTAAATGTATAATAAGGGATTGACTGTAATCCTCATGCTGTTTGTTCCATCACCATGACTTACCTGACTCATACAAGATACATGCTCTTATCTTATAGCCGAGAGTTAGTACCTCTCAACTCTCTCCACCCATTTCCCTCGTGTCCCTCCTCTACCTCTGGCAGCAGCTCCCAGTCCTCTGTATGAGCTTGGTTTTGTTTCATTGGTTGGGGTTTCATTTGGTCTTTTTTGTTGTTCCACGTATAAGTGAGGTCATATGAATGCATTTTATTGCTGTTTTGTCTGATCTGTGCCAGCATACTGTTTGATGTAGCTGTGTGGTATGATTATGTATTACATTGCAGGACTAGTGAGGAGTTCCTTGCATCTCAATCACTTATTTTAAAAGATTTACAGTCATTTTAAACTTCTTCCTGAATATTGTTTAGACTCCAATATTCATGGCCCTTCTGGTCTTGAAAGTGAAATTTTTATTTAAAATGTGGTTATTAGATTCAACTGCCTTTATCCCCCTCTAAAGAGTAGTAAAGCATCTTGTCGGCTTGAATTGCTAAGTCAAATTTTAATTGTGTTTCCAGTGGTGCGAGAGTCAAATTCAGTAGGCCTTGAATGTATTTAGATATTTAAACCTGAATACTAAAAATTTGATATCTGAGTATCTAAAATATTACCAAAGTTGCTATTGTACCTCCATCCCTTTGTTTCCTCTTTTGCTTAAGTAGGGTAATTCATATGTGTATGTTGCCCTTAATTATTGGGTATTAAGGAAAAACAGAACAAATGGCAAAAGCATTAACAGGGTTTACATGTTTGAGTCAGTGGCTATAATGGACTAAATTAGTAATGCTCTCCTTTTGTGTCTCATTTTACCATTGCATTGACCATGTTTACTTTTTTTTCTCTTAATAGGTTATGATGGAGGGTGGTCGCAGCAAAGGGTTTGGTTTTGTATGTTTCTCCTCCCCAGAAGAAGCCACTAAAGCAGTTACAGAAATGAATGGTAGAATTGTGGCCACCAAGCCATTGTATGTAGCTTTAGCTCAGCGCAAAGAAGAGCGTCAGGCTCACCTCACAAACCAGAATATGCAGAGAATGGCGAGTGTCAGAGCTGTGCCCAACCCTGTAATCAACCCCTACCAGCCAGCTCCTCCTTCAGGTTACTTCATGGCAGCTATCCCACAGAAGAGAATGGCGAGTGTCAGAGCTGTGCCCAACCCTGTAATCAACCCCTACCAGCCAGCTCCTCCTTCAGGTTACTTCATGGCAGCTATCCCACAGGTAGGTTTTTAAAAGAAAATAAAACCCCCCATGGAAGTTTTCATATTTAGTCATTTTTAGTGTTTTGTGCCTCCCAGAATCCAAGTGTAGAGGTGAAAACATTTATATGTGAATTATGATTGAGTCTGAAGAAAATGCTTGAGTGGAGGATCTGCTAAATGTTCTTGAGTGCATTAAACTCGTTGTGTCATTTGCTTGCTTTCTACAGACTCAGAATCGTGCTGCATACTATCCTCCTAGCCAAATTGCTCAACTAAGACCAAGTCCTCGCTGGACTGCTCAGGGTGCCAGACCTCATCGTAAGCCTTTCGTTTTTAAGTTAAGCTTACAAATTATTAGAACCAAAAAAGTAACTTATATTTCAACAGTATATTAACTGCTGCTTTTCATAATTTATGGTTTTCGGTGCTCATATTTGGGATATTAGCATTTTAAAAAAAATAGTAAAGTACTTCATTATTCCTGTCTTCCTGAGTAATTTGAGTGAGTTTGATTATCACAAGTTTGGGAATGGATCCAACTCAAAATTTCATGTTGGTTAAACAGTAGTTTTATAAGATCTTCCATGTATAAGGATCAGGGCCCTGGCATTTTTCAACCTTGCCCTGTGCAACAGTACTATATTGCAACAGTACTTGCAATCAGTTTCGTGTATTATGTTTATATATTAATAAGTGCTTGCTAGTCCTTGCATGAATGAATTGTTTACTGATGTGCTGATCTCATAAGTGCAAAAAAAGCAGATGAGATGAAACTTTAAAACATGGTATTTATATTTTTGGTCACCTTTATGCAACTTTAAGTCTAAAAAAGTAGTATGAACACTTTGAATTTTTCTCCAGTTGATGTGTATTTGTGTCATTAAATGCAGCATTCCAGAATATGCCCGGTGCTATCCGCCCAGCCGCTCCTAGACCACCATTTAGTACCATGAGACCAGCTTCTTCACAGGTTCCACGAGTCATGTCAACACAGCGTGTTGGTGAGTCTTAACCCTTCCTGTAAAAATTGCTCTCCAATTTTGAAATAGCAAAGTAAAAACAAAAAAAATGCGGGTTTTTTTTTTAAGCTAACACATCAACACAGACCATGGGTCCACGTCCTGCAGCTGCCGCTGCCGCAGCCACTCCCGCCGTCCGCACCGTTCCACAGTACAAGTATGCTGCGGGAGTGCGCAATCCTCAGCAGCATCTTAATGCACAGCCCCAAGTTACCATGCAGCAGGTCTGGGTTTGACGATTTCTTTCTTTATAAAAATGACAGTCCTTGATTGTACTCAAAGAAAATAAAGGCGGCTATATAAGAGAGCCTGAGCTATCTAGGGACATCTTGTTATTTGATGTCCCATTAATTTAGAATATGTAAGAATTTTATTTGCTGTATATTGTAGGAATTAGACAACATTCAGCAATCTTTATCCTGAAATGACCTATGTGCTTGAGAGTTTGTTTGGCATAGGTGTAAGGAAGGGTGTGAAATAGTCTGTGAGATCTGGCTTACCCTTTTTCACCCTGGGACCCAAACTGCCATCAGTCATAATAAAAATGTGGTTCCAAAGGTAAAGAAAATGAAGTATCCCATGTGTCACAATTCTCAAGTGTATAGGTGTGAATAGCTCTTTGGCTGTATTTGATTAGCTCATCTCCTATTTATGTTTAGATTGTAGTCTTACCACTTTAGTGATTTTGTTTTTGACAACTGTATTTACCATTACTTCTCGAAGTTGAGGAATTTTTCAATTTTATATCTAGCCTGCTGTTCATGTACAAGGTCAGGAGCCTTTGACTGCTTCCATGTTGGCATCTGCCCCCCCTCAAGAGCAAAAGCAAATGTTGGGTAAGTACCTTAGTCCCACCTGGTCAGTTACATCAAGACTAAAAAACAGGAAGATACTTAAAATGACTTGGCACCTAAAATGACAGCTAGAGTGGTGGGATTGATGTGAATTGGCATGAATGATCATCATGGCACAATTTGCCTAATTAATTAAAAGCCTACAGAGCTATTAAGAAAATGTGTTGGCTTTTGATGGATAAGGTTATAGGGCATTACTCCTTGCTATGGATCCCACAGCATTTTTGGGTTAAAGAATTTGAACCAGATGAGCAAACAGTAGTAACATAGCGTAATTTCATTTTTTGGCAAACTGATACTGCCAGGAATTAATTGCCTTATGGTAGATTTTAATCTGTTTTTATAACAGTCTTCCCATGAAAGATACAGTGAAATGGTGGATCACGGGTTATGTTTGCTAAATACAAAAATAAGGTTCTTAAACCCCAGTTTTAATATGGTAGATTCCTTAAATAAAATTTTAAAGGCATTTTTGAATGTTTTTGTTCCTAGGTGAACGGCTCTTCCCTCTAATTCAAGCCATGCACCCTACTCTTGCTGGTAAAATCACTGGCATGTTGTTGGAGATTGATAATTCTGAACTTCTTCATATGCTTGAGTCTCCAGAGTCTCTCCGTTCTAAAGTAATTTAAATTTGTCATTTATCTAGCACCTTCTACTAAGTATTCCAGAGCTTTTTGTAGAACTTAATTTTATAAAACATTTCTAAATGCCTTACATAAGCCATGCACAGTTCTAAGAGCTTTATAAATATTAATTGTAAATCATGATAATCTATGGTGCTTATTATCTCCATTTTGTATATGGGGAAACTGAAGCATGTTAGAGCACAAGTAATTGCCCAGTGCTCACACTGAGTAAATCACGGGGCTTGGTTTCAAATACAGTCAGTTTAACTCCAGCATTTTTGCTCCAGCTGTGCTGCTGCTTTACTGGAGAGAGGTATTTGCTGATATTTCTCAACTTTGGGGGATTTTTGGTGGGAATTTTTTGTCAGGAGAGAAAAGCGTGAGAAGGTTCATATTCTTCTAAAACAGTGGTAGGATGGAAATCAAAAGGCTATGGGTACAGTTGGAAATGTTGATGTTTTTCCCAGTAACAGTTCTGCTTTCGTCTGAGGAAAGGAGTTTGCCTTTTTTGGACATTTGTATATTTTTAATTTGAAGTACTAGTTATTCCTTTACAGAGCCAATTTGCTTTCCCTTTTTTTTAGGTTGATGAAGCTGTAGCTGTACTACAAGCCCACCAAGCTAAAGAGGCTGCCCAGAAAGCAGTTAACAGTGCCACTGGTGTTCCAACTGTTTGAAGTGAGCTTTCACTCCTGGGTTTACTATTTTCAACTTATTTCTTAATCTTTTATAACAGTTTGAGCATACTTTAAAACATAACAAAAATTCATTTTACCTTTAATCCAAGATGTAGTGCTAATTTTTCAAAGAGAAGTAGAAATAGGAGGAATCTAAGTAAATATGTTACCTTGGTACTGACTTGGGTTAAGTCAAAGCACTTTGAAGCATTTTGTATGGTGATTTATATTAAATGGCCCTTAACAGGAGTTGGCTCTTTGTGTACTTATTTAGAGGGCTTTCATCACTTTTTCTTGGGTGGCACCAGTGACAGTTGTCCTTGGGCCTATTACTATTGTCCTTCATTACTCCCAAGAAACTTGGAATGTAGCTGTGTAGCCAGCCAGTACCAGGCCAGGAATTGGCAAAGCTTTTCCGAAAGACAATATAGGAAATATTTTGGTTTTGCAGGCCATGTCTCTGTTGCAGTTACTCCACTGTTACAGTGTGAAAGCAGCCGTAAACATAATTTAAATGAATGTGGGTATGGCTGTGTTGCAATAAAACTACAGAAACAGGCTTCAGACAGTTGGCCACAGGCTTAAATTTGCTACTGGCAAGTGCTAGCTAATATTGGTCTGTTTTTGATTGGCTTTAATTTTATTGAAATATTTGACAAACAGGTAAATTTACAGTGTACATGTTAATTAGATATATCTATGTATAATTGCCATTGTAGCAATATTCCATATAACCTTTTTTTTAGTTGATATTATTAAATTCTATTCTCTTAGAAAGTTTAATTATTATAATTTTTCCCCCCACCTTTACAGATTGATCAGGGACCACGAAAAGAAACTCGTGCTTCACCGAAGAAAAATATCTAAACATCGAAAAACTTAAACATTATGGAAAAAAACATTGCAAAATATAAAATAAATAAAAAAAGGAAAGGAAACTTTGAACCTTATGTACCGAGCAAATGCCAGGTCTAGCAACAAATGCTAGTCCTAGAATA